CTTTTTAGCTTTCACGGCTCTTTCCGCTAATTTGAATACTATCTTCCTATCATCCTTACACAATTTTAAACTATACTGATTTATTTGAATTTTCGTCTTTACATAACAGTCTTTTAAACTTTCACGGCTCTTCTTTTTAAATTGAATACTATCTTTCTATTATCCTTACACAATTTAAAACTATGATGATTTATTCAAATTTTCGTCTTTACATAACAGTCTTTTAAACTTTCACAGCTCTTTTCTTTAAATTGAATACTATCTTTCTATCATCCTTACACAATTTGAACCAGTTTGACTAAGGTGAATTTTATCTTTACTATAACCTAGCTTTCTCAATGTTTCTACATTTGTTTGTTACCGATCTCGCTGTGTTTGTCTGTTTACTCTTGTTGTTGATTAGTAAAAACGCTAAATTTTTACATATGTAGATAATTGTCTGTGTGTTTGCGTACTTGTGAATAGAAGTTATATAAATGTGTAAGGTTATTCTGTACATATAAACGAACAAAAGTATTAACAACAATTTATTTTTACAAAAATAAAACAATTTTTATAAAAATAAAAAAAAGAGGTTCAGTCTTCCTCCTGAACCTCTTCCTCCTCTGAGGAGTCTCTGAAATAAAAAATAATCGAAAATAGTTAATTATTCGACTTACCCGTACATGACTCCGTCATCGGAGTCGGACGACTCCTCAGAGTCGCTGGGTACGTACTGGAGGTACGTACCTCTTGATTTGGAGAATCTCTCCACGATTCCTATGGAGAATCCCTTGCTAAAACAACCAATTAGTTAATAATAGTAAAGAATTCAAAATACTTACTCTCCTGGTTGCCTATCGGCAAAATATTTTGGCGGTTTTTTCTTTTCTACGGTTGGAGGTCTAAACGATGGTTAATTAGTATTCTATGAATGAAACTTACTTATTTTCTTTGTTGTCCATTGTGTTCTTCTTAGGGCTTCTCTTCTTCTTCTTTCTTTTTTCTACTCTTTTAAAAACGTTCGCCTGAAAATAGATGTTAAACAGAGGATAATAGTAAGAAGATTTTAAAAGATATATGTTAATTAATTAATAGTAAGAAGATTAATAAAGGAAATAAAGTCACCCAACTCTATACGGAGTTGGGCACTGTACTGAAATCTGACGGTCTCCAGATGAGGAAGACTTTGCTCCGCCTTCGTAATGATATAGTAAATCATAACTGTCGGTTATGGATACGTATGTTCAATTCCTTTGTTTTACCTTATACTGACAGTTTGACTCTGTGATCTTTGCGATCTTTTGAAATATTGTCCGTTGTTTTTGCGTCTCTGAATATGACACTGATCAGCCTGTGACTCGGTTTATTAAATCATAACTGTCGGTTATGGCAACATCTGTTGCAAACTTTTGCTTTCTTTGTTATACCTTGGCTCAAGTTTCAACCCTATGTCTTTGATGTGTTTGTTTATATTGTTAACTCTTATTACTATTATTCTATTATTC